TGTGTGTGTAGAAGGAAGGCGTGAGGGCGGCTTTTCCCCCCCTGCAAGCCGCGAGGAGTGTGAAGAAGGAGGTCCCCGCGCTCGGAGGCGGGGTCGCGCTCCCCGCTCCCGAGAGACTCGAGGCGTTGCCACTCTGACTAGCTGACCTCTCTCACACCTCTCTCTCTCCGTTCTCGACTGTCCGTGCGTGCGGTCTGGGGCCTCAGGCGTGTGCGGTTGCGTCAAGTGGCGCAGAGGGAAGAGGCAATTTGCGCCTCCGCGCCGGCTGGGCCGAGAAGAGAGAGGTAGGCGGCGGCGGGGAAGAAGAAGATGATGATGACGGCGCTGACGGCGCCGCCAAGGCTGACCACCACGCCAAGGTCGCGCACGAGCAGCGCGACGGCGGTGGTGCCGAGCAGGTACAGCGCCACGAGCGTGCGGTGCACCTAGTAGCGAGATATGGGGAGATATGGGGAGATATGGAGCAGGTACAGCGCCACGAGCGTGCGGTGCACCTAGTAGCGAGATATGGGGAGATATGGGGAGATATGGAGCAGGTACAGACCCACTAGCGTGCGGTGCACCTAGTAGCGAGATATGGGGAGATATGGGGAGATATGGGGAGATATGGGGAGATATGGAGCAGGTACAGCGCCACTAGCGTGCGGTGCACCTAGTAGCGAGATATGGGGAGATATGGGGAGATATGGAGCAGGTACAGCGCCACGAGCGTGCGGTGCACCTAGTAGCGAGATATGGGGAGATATGGGGAGATATGGAGCAGGTACAGCGCCACGAGCGTGCGGTGCACCTAGTAGCGAGATATGGGGAGATATGGGGAGATATGGAGCAGGTACAGCGCCACTAGCGTGCGGTGCACCTAGTGGCGAGATATGGGGAGATATGGGGAGATATGGAGCAGGTACAGCGCCACTAGCGTGCGGTGCACCTAGTAGCGAGATATGGGGAGATATGGGGAGATATGGAGCAGGTACAGCGCCACTAGCGTGCGGTGCACCTAGTAGCGAGATATGGGGAGATATGGGGAGATATGGAGCAGGTACAGCGCCACTAGCGTGCGGTGCACCTAGTAGCGAGATATGGGGAGATATGGGGAGATATGGGGAGATATGGAGCAGGTACAGCGCCACTAGCGTGCGGTGCACCTAGTGGCTTGCAGGCCGCCTCCTGGTGCTCTCCAGGTAGTAGCTTGCAGGTACTGTCCAGGTACTTTCCAGGTACTTTCCAGGCAGTAGCTTGCAGGGAGCCTCCTGGTGCTCTCCAGGTGCAGGCACAGGCACTGTCCAGGTACTGTCCAGGTGGTGGATTGCAGGGACAGCGCCACGAGCAGACGAGAGCACTCGCGAGGTGCGGCAGTGTCGGCTGGCCGCGGTGTCTTGTGAGTCTGTGTGTCTGTGAGTCTGTGTGTCGCTCCGGTGTGGCCGTCGCCCTCTGTCCAGCGTCCACCAATGCCGCGCTGGTGTCCGGTCCGAGCCCGTGGCTGCTCCTCGCCTCTCTACCTCTACCTCTCCCTCTCTCTCTCTCTCTCTCTCTCTCTCTCTCTCTCTCTCTCTCTCTCTCTCTCTCTCTCTCTCTCTCTCTCTCTCTCTCTCTCTCACTCTCTCACTCACACACACACACACAC